TCTACTCTCACCTCTCCCTATTTCCCCTTCTCTTCCCTCCATTGTAACCCCTGTGCTCCAGCTTTGCTTGCATTTCCCCAAAACTCATCACAGCTTTAATTTTTAATTTTATTTATTTATTTATTTCCCCCAAAGCCCCGGTAGATAGTTGTATGTCATGGCTGCACATCCTCCTAGTTGCTGTATGTGGGACACGGCCTCAGCATGGCCGGAGAAGCAGTGCGTCAGTGCGCGCCCGGGATTGAACCCGGGTCGCCAGCAGCAGAGCACACGCACTTAACCGCTAAGCCACAGGGCCGGCCCCATCACAGCTTTAGAATCTCGAGGCTTCTTCCTGGCTCACTCCTCTCCCAGGTGTTACTGAACCAGCTTCTATTCATCCCTAAAGATCAGGAATCAGTATGAGTCCTTAGACTTCATTTCTAGGGTAACAAGGAGTAAAGCATGGACCAGGCATTCCCTTTCTCCACATCCCCCTCTCTGGGGTTGTCCCAGAACATGTCTTTTTAACTTCACAGTGTCTTCCCACTGCTACTTCCCAAGCAAAATCTGTTATCAGTTATTTATTTCCTGGTATAGATTTAAGGCAATGTGTTACCTCTACCAGGAGTATTTGCATGTAAAGGCTCGTCACTGAAGGCAGGACTTATTAAAGCGACATCAGGCATCTGGGAGAAGGCGGGGAGGCATGTGAATGCCCTGAAAAAGCACACCACACGATAGCACATAGCTGCTCTGTTTGCGAGCACGAAGGTCTCTCAGAACCAGGAGAGGGGGGTGGGGAGGGAGAGGGAAGGAAGAAGGAGAGAGGGTTGGGGGGAGGGAAAGAGATTGAGAGAGAGAGAGAGAAAGAGAGAAAAGCACCACGTGTTGAAAGCAAGAGGCTGTACTCAGCGTTCTGACCTGTCCCGGGACAGCGTTTGGTGGTTGCAGGTTGTGCCTGCACAATTCTTGGGGGGCCATTCACGTGGACTATGATGTGAATGGTATCTCCTGGAGTTGTGCCATGGAGCAGCCCTGGGAAATTCCTTAGGAAGGCAAAGGGCCTCTGCCTACCTATCCCTCCTTGGTCACCATGCATCATAGAGGGCAGGGGAGCCCCCTCTGGGTCAGAGCAATGACCCATCCAGCGCAGGACTCTGGCTCAGGCAGATACGACCTGCGAGGCCAGGCAATCTGCAAACAGAGAACTACAGTTATTGCTTTGCCTTTCCCTCTGCTTCCTGCTCTTCACCACCCGAGTCACTTGTCTAATCTGCAAATCTGACTGGCATCCTCTGGGCCCAAATCCTTTGATGGCTCCTCACTGCCTACAAAGCATGCTCTCCGCTCTGTCACAGTTAAGAAAACCTTTTTTCTTTACTAAAATATCTTAAGAGGAAAAAAAAAACTCTTTTGTATGCCTCCCCAGGATTACACATTTATAATCTTTATGACATGAGCTCCTAAAGGCAGAGGTCTTGTCTTCGTCTTCGTTTGTTCAGCAGGCCATAGAGCCCCTGGCTCATAATATTTGTTCGATAAATGAGTTCAATTGACTTAAAGGAGAGAGAAAATGCAGAAGATCAAAGGCAAAATAAGAAGCCGAGAAAACAGCAAAGCAGAGAGAACAGGGGAAAAAAGACCTCATTTTCAGCTGTGCTTTCCATCATCCCTTTCCAACATTTTATGGCAGTTCCCTGGCAGGGCTCCCACCTTGTAGCAAGCCAGGGAAGGGAGATGGCAGAATGATGTTGCTCGTGGGATTTTGCCCTGCTCTTTGATTCTGCTGTTGCGGGGCAGGTGCATTTTCTAAATTACACACTAAGGTGGCAGGTCATTTCTAGCCAGCCTAGCCCCACCTGGCAAATGAAGCCTTGGTTTTCAACAGACAAGCATTTCAGAACAAAGCCAGGAGGCTCCCAGATACACTGGAAAACAGATGCTCTTGCCAGAAGCAAACTTGGCTGGGGAGGCCTAGTGGATGCAGCAGCTGAAGGATCCCCAGAACCTAGCAACATGCTGGCCAGGCAAAACTGGTCCTGGGTCTCAGGTAGCCGAAGCGGCATGCTCAGGGCTCTCCGAGCCCCTCTTCTTTGAAGACTTCCACAGTAAGTATTGTCTCTCTTTGACCCTGTTTCCTCTTTTGTAAAAGAGATTTTTTGAACATCAAGTGATGCCTGGCACGTGGTACGGGGTAGCCATCATCCATCTCATTGCCTTGGTGCCCCAATGACGTCATCTGTTAACCAGGGGGAGTAATGCTTATTTTACACTAACACGCTGAGGATCAAGTGAAGCGGAATCTGTAGGCGCTTAGCAAAGGATGCAAGGAGTTTACCGCATGTCAACTTGGATGTTCTAAATCCAAACCAAGCTCATCTCAGGATCTTGAGATCAGGTTATCAGACTGGCAGGTGGGAGGAATGCCACGGACAGCGTACTTGATTTCTGAAAGGTTGGCGACAAAAGCCTCTCGAGACATGCATGTAGACATGATGAAGACATGGGGGCTAGGGACCAACACCTCTGACTGCCTGAATAATCACACCGAAAGGGTTAATATCAATAAGGAAAGACTTTTCCTATAGCGGTAGGGCTCAGAATCTTGCACTACCCAAATGAATATGACTTTTTAGAATTAATGATTTGAATTAAGACAGAAACTATGCTTATTGAATTTGGAAATTACCCTAAACTGGGACAAGAGCAAAAACAGCAAGATTTCGACAGGATGCAAAGATGAGCCAAAACCATCATAATATTCAATGGGAAAAAATGTAAAGGCCTGTACTTGAGTTGAAAAAAAGAACACAGCTGGAAAGCACAGGATGGAGGGAACCAGCATAAAATTCACGTTAAAAAAAAAAAAAAAAAGGAAAAAACTACATGTAAAAAAATAAATCAATGTGAATCAATGGTGCAATATAACTGCCAAAAAAAGCTAAGGCAATCTTGGGCTGCATTAACAAAATAGCAGTGCCCAGAAAAAGAGAATGGTTTCAATATGCTCTAACATCTACTCAAACTGGAGCTTTTCTAGACAAAAAATAACCAGAATAATGGAAGGTCTGGAAGGCCATGTGATCTGAGAAACAGGTGAATAAAATGGAGATAAAGGTAAAGAAAGTGGGTGTAGTTAGCTTGAGAAAGAGGAGAATTAGAAGGTCCTTACTTTCTATCTTTACGTGGAAGAAAACCTCTCTTGTGGAAAAGATCTTAAATATATACCGTATAGGACCAGAGGACTGAACTTTAAAAGGAGATATATTTCAGTTCAATGGGAGAAAGGACCCATGGTTATGAAGTGGCTGCCACAGCTCCAGGCATCATGACCACAATCAAAGACAGGAAGTGGGGGAAGGGTAGCACCAAAAAGCATCTCTCTCCTATTTGTTTTTTTTATCAGGAAGCAAAATATCTTTTCTAGAAACTCTCTGCAGACTCATTTTATCCTATTGACCAGAACTGAATCATGTGGCTATCCCTAGCTGCAAGAGAGATTGGGAAATTGAATGTCTGGCAAAAGAGAATGGTAAAGGGGTAGCTAGGCCTGGCTTAAACAAATTACGCTTAGGTCAAAAAGCCAATACCCTAAGAAAAATATAAAGAGCTTAGGTTCTTGATGACATCACTGAGCTGCTGAACCAAACTTCAAACAGCCAACTTTTGTTCTTCTTTGAGTGGGAGAAAAATAAACTCGATTTGATTAAGCTATTGTAGATTTTCTGTCACTTGCAGTCAAATGCATGCTAATGGATACAAAGATGGTATTTATGAAGGTCATTGGGAGTACATCCAGCGGGACTATTTGTAGTTCCCCTTCATTCAACCGATTTTATTGTCTACTTTTTTCCAGGCACTGGCTACTCTCTGGGAATGTAATGGTGAACAAAACCAGACAAGAGCCCTGCCCTCATGGAGTTTACAGTTGAGTAGGGAAGGCAGGCATTACTGAAACACCTACAAAGGAGTATAAAAATGTACTTCCCATGATTCTGTGAAGAGGAGGCACGTGGTACAATGGAAGCATACAACAGACGAATTACTCTGGTGGTGGAGTCAGATAGTCTTCCCTGAGAAGTGAGCACCAGTCTGCGATCTGAATACGCACATTCAGGCTGGTCTGTCTGCCCGGAATGGCCTCTCTCTCTTGCCTACATCTTATTAACTTATCTATCAGTTTGTTGAAATCTTCCCATCATCCCAGTCACCTCCAGTGTCACTCTTCCATGAAATCTTGACCTTTCAACTAGAAGTGACCTATTCCTCCTTGAAGCCCCATGGAATATGCTTACTCTACCTTGCAATTTGAGTACTTGTTCTGCTTACCTCCTCACTCCCACCCCCACTCCTTCTGGAAGACATGGACTATCTCATCTTCCCAGTAAATATCTAACAACCTAGCTTGTTGTCTTGCACTTAGCTGACATTCAACACATTTTAATTGAATTTTAAAACTACATTTTATAGATGTCTATGCCCATCTAGTTTAGGAAAATATTTGATAGCTTATATAGAGTCGTGCTTGTGTGACATTTCCCCAAGCCCAGACACCCAGAACCTTGGATTTTTGTCCATAAACTGGGATTTAAAAAAAAACTATTAAAATACATTAATAGGGGTTATTATTATACTTCTGTCAACTATCATTTATATGAGCTGAAGTCTCCTTAGTTTATTACTTAAATTATTACAACCCTTATTCCGTAGCATAAAAGAGGCAAGGTGTTTGAATTTCCCTAGGATGCATAATAATACCTCTCCATCTTGGAAGAGGCCTGGCTCTGTTCAATATTTTCAGGGTGACGGTTGTTCCGGAAGGCACGGTATCTTTCCTGAAATTCACACATTGTTAATCTTCACAGTAGGTGTATAAAAGTCACTAATTAAGGGACATTGTAACGAAGATAGTAAGAGCTGTTCCATTTGACAATCATTTGGTTCTTGGGGAGTAGATTCCCCCATGGGGACATTCAAAGAGTGTTAGAGATTTACAGCCGCTCTCTTTGTATTTGATATTGACACAACTCCAGACGCACTCCAGCAGGGAGTTCAACAGTCATCCTCTGGGTGGAGGTATTACCAGGTTCTAAAGCTGTGGCGGGGAAGCAAACGACCAACGGCGCTAAGTTCAAAGCTGCCAGAGATCTCGCTCCGAGTCAAGTCAGGGAGAAGAAATGCCCAAGAGCAAACGTTCCTTCTCTCCCCCGGGTGCAATAAAAGGAGCGTGCCGAGGATCCACGCTGGCTCGGGCTTGGAGCGAGCGCTCGGTGCCCGCCTCCCATCTCAGAGGAAACTCGCTCCCCTCGGCGAGAATGGGCACAAGGGATCCCCGAACTTCAGGGACCCCACTGGGGGTAACTTCTCTCCCTTCATCATATACGATCAGATGAGAGGAGAGGGGCGCTCTTCCGACGTCCCCCCGGCGGGCGCGCGCGGCAGCTGAGGCCCGGTGGAGGCGGGGTCGGCCGGCGGCCCCGCCGCCGGAGCCCCGTGCGCTGCCCGGTCCTCCCCCTCCTTCTCCGCGCCGTCACTGGCTGCATCCCCGCGGCCCCGGCACAATAGAGGCTCCGCCCCTCCCTCCGCCCGAGCGCTCCGCGGCTCTCTCTCCCAGCAGCTCTCGCCGCCGCCGCCGCCGCCACAGCCCGCCCCGCGCCGGGTGCCCGTGCGCCCCGAGGCTCCCCGCCGCCCGGCCTGGCGCGCCCCGCCCGCATCTGACCGGACCCTTTCCTCCCACCTGAGCCCTTCTGCAGAGGACGGCGCGCTAGGCTAGCCAGTGCCACCTCCACCTTCCCCGTCACCTCCTCCTGCCCTGCGCCCCTCTCTCCACAGGGGCCGCACAGTCGAGGGCTGCTCGCGCCTGGAAGGAGATGACCAGGGTCTCTGGGGCGCACCCGCCTGCCCCGCTCAGCCGCACCCAGCTTTAGAAGGCGCTCTGAGCAGCCACCCGCGGGCTCCAGCCAACACACCCTCTCGCTTCAGTCCTTGCCCGGACCCCCGACCCCAGCCTTTCTCCGAAGGGGCCGAGCCCCTTCTTGTCGCGTCCCTCATGGCCAAGTCTCTGCTGCTAGTTCTCTGCTTAGCTCTGGTGGTGGCTCCGGACTGGGGGTCCAGCACTCCCCACCCAGGAACCAGCGAGCCCCCAGACGTGAAGACGGCGGCGCCCGCGGGGGATGAGACTCTGCAAAACGAAGCGGACAACCAGGAGAACGTTTTATCTCAGGTAGGATGCGAGTCCCATGCCCACCCCTCTTGCCCTGGGTGGTGCCAAAACCCAGAAGATGGTCCTCACTGAAGCGTTGGGAGGCAGCTGTTTCTCCCCCAATTGCCAAAGGGAGGGGCATTTGCTTTTCATTTATCAGAATATTTTAAGTGAAGGGACATGGGTCCTCCTTTCAAAATCAGGGGTCTCTCAAGGTTACCAAATTAGGAGAAAGGAGAGGAGAAGGAAACTCAGAACTCCCTGAGAAGAAGGGGAAAAAATGAAATCAAAAGCTTGTGGTTCAAGGGTTGTGGAAAGTATGGCCATCTCTTGTCTGTGTGACTGTCAGAATTGGAATGTGAAAACGGGCAGGCATTTTGGACAGGAGGCCAACGGTGTAACCATGGGGACATATTTCATGGCACAGAGTGAGACACCCAGGCACAAGCTCGGGGTGAAGACAGAACAGCAACATGTGTGATAAGTGTGAGGGGACCCCAAACTAGAGAGACTGACGACAAGACCCCTGTATTGGGGAGGGAGAGTGGAAATGCAGATCCACTCGGGTCTAGCAGATCATCAGTGGGGGGCAAGTGACAGCTGATAGTGACGTCTTTTTAACTGTCCCTTTGCAAAGTCCTTTCAATTGTTTTATCTGACTCAGTCCTCACACATCCTTATTTCCATTCTCTAGATAAGAACCATAAGGCTTGGAACAGGAAAGAGCCCTAGAACAGTAAAAAGTAGGGTAGAGCCAGATCTTCTTGACAGTCTTCAGCCCAGATCTCATGACTGCAAGGGACAGTTCTCTCTGGAGTGTTTATTTCATGCTCTCCAGAGCCGGTTTGATGATGTGTGGTGGAAGACACCATATCTTAAGGATGAGGGATGGCTGAGAAAGGATCCCTAGCTCTGCCTGCACCTCCACTAAGCCCTTGGGCTGGGTCTTGTCTCCTTTCTGTAGAAAGAATGATCAGGCCCACTCTGGCATTTATCAAACACTAGTCTCCTCATCCTGTCTTTAATAATTATGCTAATATATGCCCTATACTCACTCATAACCTCGCACTGACCCCTCCATCGAAAAGACATAAAAGTCCTTCACATTGGGGCTCTGGAGGACCAGCAACAAAAGCTTTCCTGAAACTGGAGCCTCCTGAAAGGAAGGAGTCCACCCAGGGTCTCAGAGGAGGGTTCTGTGGAAATCTAGGCAGAGTTTCAGAGAGCAGACAGCTACAATTTACTGTCAGCCCACAAGGACCGGCTGCTTAAGTCACCTTGAACTACAACTTCTTCTTCCACTGATCCATTCTGTATTTGACAACAGCCCCAAAACAAATATTAGTCTTAGAAGAAACCCAACCTTTGCAGGAAAAACATTACAAGCCTTCTTCCCCACAAACAGCATCCCAGGAGCATTTCCACTCCAGCGAGCTCAGTGCCTGCCTGCTGGGGTCATTAGTCAAATGAAGGGAACCCTGCTCCATGCCTAGAAAGGGAGCACTGGCTTTGGGGATGCAGGTCTGTTGGAGAGGAGCTGGGAGGAGCGTTTTCCCCAGCAAGTGGCTCCAGAAAGCCTGCTGTTGTGTGTTTTCCTGCCTGGAGAGGCTGACAGGGGCAAGCACTCAGAAGGAAATGTTAGGCATTGTGGAAGCGGCAAGCCCTGCCAGCTTGCTTTCCTGGCTCTGGCCTGGGGTTTGGGTGCAGAAGCTGTTCTAGGAGCCAAGTGAACCCTTAGGCTGAGTAAACTTTATTGACTTCTGGACCTGTCTCTCTCCTCCCAGTTCCCTTTCTCCAAATCTAACCTGTCCTTCGAGGCCCAGATTAAATACCACTTCTTCCAAGAAGTCTTCACTGGTGCACAGCTGGAGCCACTCTCTGTGGCTTTCTGAGTTCCCACTGCACTGTCCCACTTCAGGGGCACTGATCGCTCTTTCCTTGGTGTGACTGTTATTAATATACCTCCTGCACTGTAAGCTCCTTGAAAGCAAGCTCTCTGGCCCATTTCTTTACCTCTGACAGCACCTAGCACAGTCCCTTCACTCAATAAATGGTGAAGGAATGAATGAGGATAGAAGCAAGTCATCTTCAGATTTGCATATCAGTTTTCCCAATCCCTCCATCAATCCCTTCTCCGTGTCCTTTTCTAATCTAAACCTGGATCCTAGCTAAGGCAGGACTGTTGGAAGAATGATGGGGCTCATTTGTTTTTTCCTTTAAATTTATTTATTTATTTTTCCCCCAAAGCCCCAGTAGATAGTTGTATGTCATAGCTGCACATCCTTCTAGTTGCTGTATGTGGGACGCAGCCTCAGCATGGCCAGAGAAGCAGTGCGTCGGTGCGCGCCCTGGATCCGAACCCGGGCCGCCAGTAGCGGAGCGCGCGCACTTAACCGCTAAGCCACGGGGCTGGCCCTGTTTTATCCTTTAAATGATGAAAGGCTAAGATCCCTTGCGAAATGCACAGCTTTCCAAGACAAAGGGAGAGAGCTAAGCTCTGTGCCTTCAAGGAAACGTCAGAGTCAGCAAATTGTGTGGCGGTGATATCTTCACCCTACAGTTCAGAGTTGTCTGAGGTCCCTGGTTAGCGCAGGACATTTGACAAAGTGAATGGAGAGCCTTCTTCAGGAGCCTGACTGATGCCTGTGTTTGCACCCCCCCAACCTGTTCCCTCTCTCTCTGTCTGTCTGTCTAGTTGCTGGGAGACTATGACAAGGTCAAGGCTGTGTCTGAGGGCTCAGACTGTCAGTGCAAGTGTGTAGTGAGACCCCTGGGCCGAGACGCCTGCCAGAGGATCAACCAGGGGACCTCCAGGAAAGAAGACTTCTACACCGTAGAAACCGTCACCTCAGGCTCGTCCTGCAAGTGTGCCTGTGTTGCACCACCATCGGCCCTCAATCCCTGTGAGGGAGACTTCAGGCTCCAGAAGCTACGGGAGGCAGATGGCCGGGACTTGAAGGTAGGGCCTGGTATGGGGTGATGCCATGGGTAAGAGGGACCCATGAGTCTGGCAAGGCTGTTGTTGGGGATCGTAGGCCTTTGAATAAGTGGGACCTGTTTTAACCTTTAAAGGAGGTAAGGCCCTGGGCCCTAGAGTGTTGCGTGTGGATCCGAGGCTGATGATCTGACAAACTGGTCATTTGCAACCCTGATGTCTCAAGGAGATGCCAAGAGCAGAGTGTGCCCGCCTCTCCTTAAGGAGCCAGAGAGGCTGGGCCTGGGAGCAGCTGCCAGGTCCAGCTGGCCAAAAGAACTCGCTGTTCTTCTTCAAGAGAATTACTGCCATGATTTCCTGTCAGCCCAGCATGCACCCCAAAGAGGAGAGAGGCACGCAGAGAGCAGTGAACCTTTCAGTCCTCGGCGCAAGGGCTGGGTGACCCAGGGAAGGAGAGGCCTGGGGCCTGTGCTTGTCATCAAACTGTGATCCTGTGATCATGGTCCACAGGGTGGGGAAGCTCAGGCCCTACCTGGGGCAGCCCCAAGGGTTGACCGAGGCCTTCATCTGATCCCTGCCCTCGCTGCTTCACTTGCAGCGTGGGGTAGTGGGATGAGCTTGCTATGCGAGTCAGACAGACCTGCGTTCAAATCACTGCTCTGCCAATACTTACTGCAGAATCCTCCTCAAGTGATTTAACTTGTCTGACCTCAATCTCCTTGAATGAAAAGCGGGAATAATAACATCTACCTTGTGGGTTTTGAGAATCAGTGAGATGACAACCATTGAGTATTTGGCACAATGCCTGACATAGTCAGGGCTCAATAGACACTAGTTCCATTAATGAATGACCGTGTACAGTGCACTGCTGTGCCTGGAACCTGGTACACACTTGGTAACTGGTAGTCATTGATATCCCTTTAAGCAGAGTTTTGTTTACCAGTACAATGAGTGTCCCAGTATTCAGTGCATCCCTCAGAGCTGCAGCTCTGTCATGAAACCACTTTCTGAACCAAAGGCACAGTCACCCAGTTATAGGATTGGAGTCGGGGGCATCTGGAACAACAGCAGGCAACATTTTCTATTAGGAATCAGAAAATCATCATAGTACATACTAACCAGCTACCATTCCGTGTTGCTTACCCAGGATTCAGCTGTCTTCCTCTGGTGGAGAGGAAGGAGATCTTCTCAATATGAATATTTCATGCCTGGAATTTTTCATTTGGAAGCAAGGCTGGGAGATGAGTGGGGAGCAGAGATGGCAAAAGTGTATCCAGCCAACTCTTCTGGGGACTGGTCCTTGGCAGGGAGGCTTGGTTTAAGTGTCTCTCATCTTGCCCCTTTGCCTGCTGTACTCTGCATGCCCTGAATGTCACCAGAGCCTCAGCCACCTTCTTCCCAGTGGCTCTGTACTGGCAGGAAGGCCAGTATTGAAAAAACTGAGAAGGCTGGGTGCCCTATGGTGGCTTTCCACCTCAAAGATGGGTCATTGGGTCTCTTTTACTCCACAGTCAGTTTAGCTTTTAGTGCTAAGGAAAAGCTTGTTGGTGTCTTCCAGGGTCTTCCATAGACAGTGAAGTTGAGTGTTTCAGAAGCATATCATCAACGCATTGAAGTTTATAAGCCATTTTGTTGAGTAGTTATAGATGACCTGTTATGGGCCAGATACTCTGCTGAGTATCTTAGGAAAACAAAGATGTAGGTGACATAGGCACTGCTTTCAAGGAGCTCACAGTCTAGAAGGAAAGACAGATGTGCATGCAACTGACAGGTTTAATATAAGAGGTATAAACAGTTTGATGAAGATGTCTAGACCTCAGGTTTACTTGTTCTTGAAGGATTCTCCCATTTTCTTACTCGAGTATTCCAGTAGGCAGAATATACTGACGCCATTGTGCTTCCTTATGTGCCCACCTACACAAGGGCCAATTTCTGAGGGCCACTCTCAAGTCCTGGCTTGTAGCTTCCCTGTCGAGCCTTCAACATGGAGGTCTAAGAGGAAACGTGTCCCCCTGGGTCTGTCTGCCCTGGCCCTGGACTAACACCCTACCCTTGTTTCATAGCTTGCCACCATCATAGACATGCTGGAAGGAGCTTTCTATGGCCTTGATCTCCTGAAGCTGCATTCGGTCACCACCAAACTGGTGGGGCGAGTGGATAAACTGGAAGAGGTAAGGAAGATTCTGGGTTTCCATATCTTTCTCTTGGTAAGGCCCAAAAGTGTATCAAACTTCCCAAGTATTTTTTCAGAAAGCATGTATCCTGACTAGACTTAACCCATTCTATTCTTTGGAAAGAAAAAAATATACATAAAACATTCATCCAAAATCATGCCAAATTGTTGGTGGCAAAGAGAATCAGTGAAATATAAACGTAAATATCTTCTTTTTTCATATGTAAGAACCATATAACCAATGTATTTCTATTTTTACCTTGACTTCCAGGGAACTCAGAGCTAAATAAAATGTAGAGGTACAATAAGCATCTTACTTCTGGTTTTAAGATAGTGTCATCTCCCTTCTGGGTAGATGGTTGTTAATATCTTGTTCTGTTTTTTTTTTTTTTTTTCTGTTCTATTGCTTGCCTCTATGTGTGTGTATGTGGGGGTGTAATCCATCTCAAATCCATTTCAGAGAAAGAAGACATGAAAATGATTACTAATAAATAATATTCCCTACTGTAAAACATTCAGGCTAATCACCCCCAGGAAGAATGGACTAGTAACGTAATTTTCATAGATAGATACACAACATTATTATGGCTGGGTTCCAGAGAGATGTACAGTTGGGGCCATGGGTTTCAGCCAGCGGTATGTGATGTGATGATGGGAGACAGAAGTCGCTATAGACAATAATAATGTTGACACTGTTTTGTTGCCTTGATGCTTTAACATATAGATAAGAAATCATTTAGTCACCAGAAAAGTAATGATCATCATTCAGCCTTGTCGGTAAGAAGCTGATGGGTATGTTTCTTTGACTGGCATCCAGTTCTTGAACAGATACTTGAAACAGTGACTCAAAGAGCTGCTGCTTCAAGTAGAAATCTATGTATTTGTTGTTGTTGTTGAGGTATAGTTCACATATAACATGGTATTAGTTTCAGGTGTGTAACATAATGATTTGATATTTGTATATAATGCAAAATGATCTCTGCAATAAGTCTAGTTAGCATCCATTTATGTAATTTTTAGAATGTCACTCTAAGTGGTAAATTTAATATCACTGTAAACATATCAATATTCTTCATGAAAAAGTGAGCTTTGGGGGGTCTCTCGTGGAGGAGCTGAGGTTCCCTGATGGGTGATTAATAGATGTTAAGATATGGAAAAAGTAAGGCTCTTTAGTTTGGCAGGAAGAGCCCTCAATGGACCTAGGAGTCAGGACAGAGTGAATTACTGTGTTAGCTGCCGCAAGCAGCCATGTCTCACTTTCTCCATCTGTAAAGTGGGAAAGGAACCCTACCAACTTTGTATGATTGCTGAGGGGATAAAAGGTGAGCTAGTCATTTTGGAAACACTTTGAAATGGTTAAATGAAACAAGGCGCTTGGGTTATGACCAGATTGGGAATGGTCTACACCATCCTACTACCAATGGACTTCATGCAGGCTTGGGATCTTTCTCCTATTTAAAACCACTTTCTGATTCTTTCAGTTGGGTTCAAAAGGAATTAAACCAGGATCCAATTGGACCTTGGAAACTGGAAGTTGCCTCTCTTTCTCTTGGCCCCCAGAGCCATCCAAATGTGCAAGTCCCTTTAAAAGAAGGATTGCATCTTTATAGGAAGAGGAATGACAGCCACCTCTTCTGCTTTCACCTGACCTTGGCAGCCATATGGTTTTTATTCTGTCTGGAGAACACAGCCTGGGAAAGATAGCTCCAGGGATAGAGCACAGTGCTTGTGAGGCCAAGGTCAGATGCTCAGCCCCTGAGAAGCCCAGCTCTGTTCAAGGGCCATAATCTGTTTCCAGCCTTGTCTAGTGGCTGAGCCCTCCCTGCTTGGCAAAGGGTAGGAGTGTGGGTGGATTTGGTGCAATGCCACTACCCCAGCAGGTTGGTATCTTCTGTGCAGTCACACAATAACTGGGTTTTTGCCAAAACCAATCTTAGTTACATCGATGAAAGTTTTCTCTTTTTCAAACCTGTGATATATTTAGTAGCAAAAACTGGACCTTTATAATAATAATAATAATAATCCCTTATATTTGTGTAGCATTTATGGTTTTTAAAGCATTCCATATACATTTAGCTCATTTGTTCCCGTGAGCTGGACAGGATGAGAGACCTAAGGAGATTAGATGCTTTCCCTGTGATTGTGGTGCTAAGACAGTATGGACTGGGCTCAGGCCTTCTAGTTCCTGGTCCAGGGCTCTTTCTAATCAACCCCATAAGCGTCTTCAAATCATTGCTGTCTGCTCTGGAAGCATCAGTTTTTCCTAACCAGAACTTAAAACAGTAACTCCTCCAAGGTAATTTCTAGGCAGAACCATGGCTGTATCCCATAAATCCCCTAATAGGATTAAAGTTGAGTTAGGGAAGGTCCCATCCAGTGAGAGGTTCCCCAAACCAGGCAGTCCAAAGTGACAGGGTGCTGTGGTGTGACAGTAGTCACAGACGGGTCTGGGCCCGTAGAGCAGAGCGATGTCTCTTGGCTTGAGGTCCAGCCACTCGTCTCCTGGCTCATGTCGGCTGACTCTGTCTGCAGTCTACAGTCACTGAAAAGGCAGAATCTTAGGTAAATGGAAAAAACACTCTTCCAGCCTGGCTCTGCAGGAGGAATGGAAGGGAAATTCTGCTCCTGGTCTTTGGATATTCTGAAATCCCAAGAGGAGTTCTTTGGAGGTCAGACCAGACAAAAGGGGTCAGATTGGAGGGGCATTTTTCCCAGAATCGGATCAGTACTTGGCAGTAGAAGCGGGCACGCATGTGTACATCCACTTGGGTGTGTAGGAGGCTGTAGGAATGGAAACTCCATTTGCAGATGAAAGAGGAAGGAAGGAGAACTGGAATCTGAACTGTTCAGAGTCTTACCTCTTGGTGAAATCAGCTGTGGGAGTTCTGCTTAGTGGAGTGATTTTGGTTAAGCTTTTGTTTTATATTGTGAAACATAACACATGCATAGAAAAGTGCATAAATAATGGATAGCTTAACAAATTATTATAAAGCAAATACTTGTGTAACTACCACCCAGCTCAAGAAACACAGCAATGCTAACACCCCAAAAGACCCCACATGCCCTCTCCTACTCACACCCCCTCCCTGAAGGAAACCTCTATCCTGACTTTTATGTTAATCACCTTCCTTGATTTTCTTTATAGTTTCATCATCTAAGAACAATAGTTTTGTCTGTTTTTGAACTGTAAATATATAGAATCCTACAGACTCATGTATCTGTGTGTGTGTGTTGGGCTTCTTTCACTCAACTTTATGTTTTTGATACTTATGTATATTGTATTTTTGTCTTGTAGTTCTTTCGTTTTTATTGCTATTGTATGAATATACCACAATTTGATGATGGATATGGGGGTTGTTTTCTGTTTTGTAGTTCATAATTCATAACAGCCCCAGGAGCACTGCTCTACGTGAACTTCTCTGTGTGTGAACCCTGGGCCCACACATGCATGCATTTCTCTATGGTATATAAATAGGAATGGAACTACTGGGCCATTAGTTATGCTCATTTCAACTTTAGAGGATATTGCCAAATTGTTCTCCCAAGTGGCAGTACAAGTTTACATTCCTTCCAGCAGGGTATGAAAGTTCCACACACACTCTCACCAACACTTGGGATTGTTAGACTGCCTAATTTGTGTCAGTTTGGAGAATGTTATCTTAGTAGGGCCATTTCACTGTGTTCCAAAAACTTAACCCTGAAAACATCTTTCCTGTTCACCTGGTGGAGGCCTGAATCCCCATGGACATTCCTCTAGAACTGGTCCAGGTGAGAAGTAACATCCAAGGTGGTCAGCAGTCCAAGAACCTTTAATGTGGTAGACCCAGGCTGACCCTCTCCAGGAGTGGTTGGAGGGGGAAGGGAAGACAGGAAGTATGGGTGGGTGTTGGAGTTGGGGGTGGGGGTGGGCACACAGAATAGGTGCCAGGAGAGATGGGAATTAGAAGTCTAGAAGGAAAATCTGTAGCTTCCCAAAGGCAAAGGCAAACCCTGTCCATTGCATGTAGACCTGGCAGTGGCATTGACTCAGCTCAAGAAGACTTTTACCCTGAGCTCTGAGTGCACCCAGGGACCCAAAGACCTGTATGCTGCCCAGGCCTAAAAATGGATTCTGAAGGCAGCAGGACAAAGAGACATGGGGTACAACACCTAGTACCACATACCGCTTTCAGGAGCAGATTTATTATCAAAGTGGAGAAAAAGACAAATAGAGCCACAGATCATTAAAATAATCTCTTCTAGCATCAAGGCTTTAGTTGAATTAAGTCACGCCAAATTGCAACTGTTTGTGGAGAAATGCCCCACTACTACTTAGCTGCCGGACAACTGTCAACGTTTATAAGTACTTGGATATGTGTATGACTGTGTATGCATGTGCCTTTGTATACATACGGGTGCATATCCTGCACTCTTGAAATAGATGCGTGCCTGTAAGCTTCCTGAAGAGTGGTTTCTGTGGCTGCAGCCCTGCCCCTTCTAGTGTGCGTGACTTCTCTTTCTCTCGCGCCTACCTCCTGGAATTCACAAACCCTGTCCATGAACCCAGATGGACACCGTGGAGCCTTGTGTGTCATCTGAAGCCGTTTCTCCTGATAGTGTTGTGTCCACGTAAGCTTTAAAGTCTACGATGGATTTAGCAGATCCAGAACTGGCCCGCGCCCCAGAACGTGCTGGCATAGGCCTTGCTGAGGCTTCCCCCCCAAACCTAAGGATTTGGTGGCTTTTGTGTTTCTGGTCTGGAAGGCAAGATCAAAGGAGTATTCCTGACCCAGGGGGATATATCTTTTGACTAACTAATAGGAAAATGTAGTTTTCATCTGTGCAGACTTGGCTGTGACTTAGGGGAGCTGTCTCTTTCCAAGCCTCCCCATTCTGCCTGCCCTCCACTCCCATCGAGACACCCCAAGTGCTCACTCTCTCTCTTGACCAAATCTACTTTCAGGGACAGGTTTGCTGTGAGTCATTCTACTCTTCTCCTGACTCAAGTGCAGCCTTGGA